GACCCGACCCCGGATAAGCGGTGGAAAATGGATGGATGGATGGATGGCCTCTATCGACTATACTTATGGATGGAACTGGTGGGACAGGTTAACAAACACTTAATTGTCAGCAAATGGCTAATACAGGGAGAACCTGTTTAATTCTTTGTTGGTTTGAGTATTTTCATGGGATTTGTTGTCAGTAAAAAGAAAGCCTATCTCCAGCTTATGTAATAAAACCTTAGATAAAACCTTAAATAGAATTATTTTTATTAATTACGTATAATTTGGAATGTAATAACACTCAAACTTAAAGTGCTTTCAGGTGTGTGTTTACGCACCGATTGACCTGGTGAAGGTGCGTCTGCAGGGTCAAACAACAGTTCAAAGATACCGTGGACCTGTTCATTGTGTCGCCGTCATCCTGAATGAGGAAGGACCCAAGGGTCTGTTCAGGGGAGGGCTGGCCATCGCCCTGAGGGACATACCCTGCTATGGACTCTACTTTCTGCCCTACGAAGTCACTCGAAAGGCTCTGACCAAGAGCGGCAAAGAGCCAGGTCAGTGTCGTGAGGGAAAAGTGCAACATTACATGTGTGAAATATGGAGGGTCATTTATGTCAGGAAAGTCAATGGATGAAATGTTGGAAATAATAAAGAAATATGAATGGAAAATCAAAATTATGACATGGTAAGCCCAACTTTTTCCTTTAAGTCAAAATTATGAAATACTACGAGATATTTATACTATGCTACTTTTAAATGACGTAGTAAAACTCCAGAGATAGTACGTCATAATTACAATTTGACTTAGTGTCTCATGATATTGATTTAGTTTGCACATAGTATTGGAAAAGTCATAATTTAAACAAGACCTAATATTGACTCGGTATCTCATGAATTGGATGCAGTCTTGCGTATGTTTGACTTACAGTATTGTCTCATAATTGACCTGTTTTTGTCTTGTCCTGGTGTAAGTGGGTTTCTATATTTAAGAAACAGATAAAACTAATTTAAAAAGGAATGATGTAAAGTTGGTGAGTCCAGCTTTCTCTGGATGGAGCTTTTTGTTAAATCCAGGAGACAGTTTGTTTTTAGTTTTCATTCAGCAATTCTAAATGTCCAGGTTTATTTTCATCTGAAGTCATTTTTCAGAAGAGACACAAATTCAAGGATTCACATTGTTCACGAACATTTCTGTGCTCAGGTACGTTTGCGATAATGATGGCAGGGGGCATGGCGGGCGTGGTGACCTGGGCCTTCGCCACGCCCATGGATGTGGTGAAAGCCCGGCTCCAGATGTCGGGGGCCGGCGGCAGGGAGTACACAGGGGTCCTCCACTGCGTGAGAGTGAGCTATAGAGAGGAGGGAGCGAGGGTCTTCTTCAAAGGCCTTCTACTGAACAGCCTGAGGGCTTTCCCTGTCAACGCCATCACGTTCCTCAGCTACGAGAGTCTGATGAGGATGTACTGTCCACCGACGAGATGACCTCACTCTCGACGGGTGCTCTCCTTGCTTGGAGAGCACCCGTCAACTCCTATGCTTGGGTCAACTCCTATGAAGCTAGTGTCTGAAACCTGAACATGAGACATGATTTGCTGGTTAAGCTGCTCATGTTTTTGAAAAACATGTGACGCCATAACCTCGTTGGGGACAGAGACTTGTTTTTCACCATAGGTTTTATTTTATTACGAAGCTATTTATTCCTCTCAAGTGCACACATACAGTGAATTATTTCATAATGAATAAACAATACAAAGAATATACATGGTTATTGGTGACTGGTCCATGGAGTCATTCAAGTACAGTTGAAGGCCACACATCAATAAACTGTGTATATAACTAGGTGGAAGACAAACATGCATTCAAAGTCTCCAAATGTTAAGACTCAACTCATTGTTGATTAACAGCCTCAGTGTCATTTTAATATGCTGCTGTCGGTCTGTATTCATGGCGTTGTTTGCACGTGGAAATGAGATCCATCATCTGTTGCTCTCAGGTCAGATCATTACCGGTATTGTTCTGCTGTTCTCAGAGAGCAGATGTTGTCTCCGGGGTTCATTCAGTCTCTGCCCTGTATCGTATCATCCATGTAGTGTTTTTTGCAGTTGTTGCATGTGATGTGAAACTTCACTCCAGATGTTTTGGTCAGGATAGGGGTCCTGATTTCCCCAGACCAGTTTGCACCAGCAGTTCAGTCTCCTTGTGATTTGAAGTGTCGAGTTGGCAGTAGCCGTTCTGATCTTAGAAGTGGGCCCGGGGTTGGGTGGACCTGGAGTTAAAGCTGCTATAGTTTACAGCATTACATTAACAAGAGATCAAACGACTTTGGGTTATGTGATAAAGGGTCACTCGTAGTGACAAAGTCTGAAAAATAGAAAAAACCTCAACCGATTCTGCAGTTCCCCTCAGCTCTACAGCCCTTCAACAGTAAACGCAGTAAGCAACTAGTTAGTGAGAGTACTGAGACTTTAGGCAGAGAGTAAAATATTGGACTTGCATTCGCCTGGAGACCAATAACATGACTAACTGAACCTCAGTGCTTCTCCAGGTGGTAATATGTCAGTGTTTTGCATTTACAGCTACCTCTAGTGGTCATTGCGGGTTTAAGAGTGGTGAGTGAAAACACAATTTCCAAGTTGAAGAATGAATGAAAATGTATAGTTTACATCTGCAAACATAGAATAAATTGGATGTATGATCGATAGTTATAATTAGAATACTAGTGTGTATCTAAATCAACAATGCAACTAGAGATCGCTGAAATTGAAAATACAAAACAAATGTTTACACAATATGCTGTAGAGAAAACATTTCATTTAATTGTCTGCAGTGTCCATCAAAAATAGAATTACATCCTCACTAACGAGTTACATTAGTTCATATTTTTTTACATAATTAATTTGCACATTCCAAATAAACTGCTCTCTTCTACCTTTCCCCACTTCTGAACTTTTAAATGATACAAATACACACAAAAAAAAAAATCTGTGTTTTTTGGACTTTTCTCTTGAGGCTGCATTAAAAAAAAATTAAAATGGAAGAGAAGATGTAAAACATATGTTCGTGGGGTATCAATATGAAATCGAAGCCCAGGCTTGAGTTGTATAAGCCCTTTTCCAAGAAACTAATTCTCAAAACAATAACAGTAATTTTTGTTTTTAGTTTAAAAAAACAAAATGTGTTCAAGTCAGACAACTCATATGTTCACATTCAAAACAGATGCCTAAGTATGAGCACAGCACAAAAGGAGAAAAGATTGCTTCTCAAGGCACAAAACTGCAGCAAAAGTAGAACATTACTAAAATGCTCAAGTTGATGCGATTGTCAGACTGACGAGATTAACACAGATTGGTCCAATCAGACGCCTGATGGATTTAGTTAGTTACTAGCGGAGCACATTGTGGAGAGAAACCTGGACGCACACACACCAGTAGAGCAGGAGACTTGAGGCAGTATGACCGAAACAGTCGGGTCAGAATGAGATTCATATGAGCATTAGATCATTGGCACCATGCGACTGTTTTTGGCAAAGTGTCAACGTGGAGAAAACACATGGCGATTTAAATTTACCACGGACCTGTTCACGAGCAGCCGATGTATGTTTGAAAGTAGCAACAACGACAGGCGAGCTCGCAGAGATGATGCTCTTCATGAGTGGTACAGGTTTTACACTGAATCCTACTGGGATAAATGAACAGTGGTTTGATCCTAGCTTTTTATGAAAACTGGTATATTACAAGTTGGGATTATCTTTGTTATGTTATTGGTCTGGTTCTTTGAGGTAATAACGCTGCAATCATCTGACTAACAAACAGTTAGTGCATCAGACAGCTTGTTTGATAGCCGATGGACCGAGCTACCAAAATGAAAAACCCAACTTGTAATAAACCGTTATTTCTAAAAGATTATGAATATGTGATCTACAGCATGTCATCGAACTATTCATTCTCTAAGGCCCTTTTCCTATTGAAGGCTGCTATCCCAGCATGCACTGGGGGGGGGGGGGGGGGGGGGGGGGGGAAGAGTCAATTAAAAAAAAAAAAAAAAAAAAAAAAAGTACATAAACCCTTACATACACCTGCCACACTTGTAGGATGAGCATTCCTGGAATGCAGTATGTGGCTTTCAAATGTTGCACACATTGTTTAAAACGTGTGTCAGACGAGCCTCCCGTCTCAGGCACCAGCGCCCAATTCACATCTCAAATTCAGATGCAGTCAAGATCAATTTTACATTACAGTGTAGGAAAAACAAACAGAATTAAAATCTTGCAGCTTCAATGATTTAAAAATATTTATACATTCAGCAGCTGCTGAACCACAGATGAGAGATAAACCAGCACACTCTGGAATGCAAAGGTAAGACAGAGGGCTTACAGAAGCCACTGCCTTCAAAACGCTGAAGGACACCCTGAGCTTCCCCCTTTTTACGGACCCAAAGCAAAGGATCAAGGATGCGTTAGAGCGTAATCAGGTTTGGGACAAAGTCGAAGACATGACAGTGACACTTAATGCATCCTGGGAAAAACAAAACATAAGTGGTTCCTCTTCAACTGGAATGTGTGCACGGTGAAGAACGACCAGATATCCAGTCATCGTGGCTGGACAGCCACAGTAAAGCAAATAAGGTTCACACCTCGATCCCATTCCAGGCAGCATTTCAGCCGTGAGTTGCGAGTCCTCAGTGCGACTCAGGGGCGTGGACGTTCTCGAGTGGTTTGTAGTTCTGCTCGGCGGCCATGGCCTGAAAGGTCGCCCTCTGCCTCTGCCGGGCCTTGTTGTACAAAAAGACACCGACGAACACGAAGAAGGTGCCGATGGCGCTGAGGAAGTTGATCTGGTTGCTGAACACGATGATGCTCAGCCAAACCGACATGGCATGTTTGACAGTGCTGGCGACACTGAGGAAGAGACAAGGGTTTTTACTGTGGGCATGAACTTAACTACAAATGAATCAGAATTCATGGCCTGGACGAGATCATTATCTGTTATAAGAAACATGATGAAGACGCCTGGCTCACGCCCATTTGGTTACAGGTCTGTATGACAAAACGTGACTTGTCAATGGCGGAGTTCAGTGGAAATAGGACAGATTGGTCAGAGCACCAAGCACCATAGTGTGTAGAGGGTATGAATGCATATATACCAGTAAACCAACACTGATGTGTAAAATCGGTGCAGTTCCCCTTTAAGATAAACTGAAATTGAGGATTTGCAGCATGTATGCATGGCTGGAAAATAAGCGCACGCAGCATGTTGTTATCCAATAAGCACAGACCACCTAACCCTGCAGTTGGTGTGAGCTAGTTGGGACAAAGGTAAGGAATGGTGAGACAAGTGACTACAAGAGACAAAAAGGTTGTCAACGGCGTCAGTGAAGATTGAAAGCCATGTCATGAACGCCTCCCACCTGAAGGTTACTGGGGAAATCCGTCCCATGAGAGCATAGGCAGTGACGCTCTGCAGGTGGAACAGGCCGCCGTCCAAAAGCAGCAACACGATAATGTCTTGGCTGAAGATGAAGCTCCGCCCATTCTTCCCGATCACTGGGATGTCCTGGACACAAAGAGACAAAATGTATTTTTAATTAACTAACTATCCACACATCTGTTTTACAGGTCCCTGCCGGTTTGCTTATGTAAATATTGCTATTGTATTGTTTAACATCTGATAGAAATGGCTTTTTATTTAAGAAAACAAACTCGGAAAATGACAATATACTATACATACACTCGCCTAACTGGAACAGTAATTCAGCACAGCAATAATTGGAGCAATTGTGTGTTGACCTACCAAGAGGAACACCCAGGCAGGTATAAGCATGACGACTGCCGCTGCACTGGTGTAGAACTGCAGTTCTGCAGGGCTGAAAAAAGTCTTTATAACAAGAGTTTGATTGCACACACACTTCAACAATTCTGCCGTTGTGAATCAGAGGCTTCACAGTCTTTTACCTGAACTTGTACGTGTCTCCACTCAGCAGTTTTTTGGAGAACACGTTCTGCAAACTGAGAATCAAGACATAAAAAAGGGGGGTTAGAGAAAGCGTCGCACTGCGGCGGGATAGCTGCGTCGAGCGCTGCAGTACCAGTCCATGATGTTGGTGGAGAGAGCGGCAGAGAAGCCGAGCATGTTGAAGCTTATCTCCGAGGCGGTGCAGAGGGCCAGGCCCGCCATGACAGGGAACAGGGACAGGTTCACCCACAGCCCTGCCGATTGGAGGACAAACAGCACACACACAATGATGTGAGTCATCACGCTTATAAACACTAAGCCTTTGACCTGAATATGCTTTTCCCCCGTGGCAGTCCAAAGGTAGGATCATACTTCATGCATTACTGCAAACAAAAAATTGAAGTGACCGATGGAAATAAAATAGTTTACTCCAAACAGCTTTCAAGTTAGCTCCATTTTGTGAGATTTGCTGTTTTATACATCATCACAAGCATTCATCTTTGGAGCTAACCGCCTTCTACTTAAAGCATCAGAGGAGTCTGCATAGAGACAGGCGTTAGACGCTTCTCGAGTTCTTTTTCACCTGTTTGGATGCCGACAGTGAGTTATGTGCATCAGCTAACCTTTCAGTGCATCTTGACACGTTACATGTTGTTCAAGTAAGATTCAGAAAACATCACATTAAAGTATACGACTGGTGTTTTACTTTATTTTTCTTATCGTCAACAAATCCTGATTAGAGACCAAAACCAAAGATCAGAAGTGAAAGACATTTGATTTCCCCTAAAGCCCTGGTACCCTGACCCGTTAGACAGACATGCATCCGTGTGTCCTCTACCTGTGTACTCCCCGAGGATCAGCCTGGACATGATGACAGTGAAGATGGGTGCCGAGCTCTTCACCGTCTCCGCGAAAGACACCGCCACGTTTTTCAGGCTCACCAAGCCCAGAACCACTGTAGTGAACCTGACAAATGTAGATAAAGATGACGCAAATACTGGACTTTTTGTAAAAAAAAATTATCAGTAAAAAATATGGTGATTATCAGTATTTGTAAATCTATTAGCAACTCTAAACTACTTGATTACTTAAATGACTTGCTAAATTACTAAAAAGAGAGAGAGGGGACCCACCTCATGAGCCCAACAAACAGCATGATCATGATGAAGTTGGTGGGGTACTCAGTTCTGGTCTTGTGCTGGTACAGGCAACAGGGCACATACATCTTTAGGAAGCCTATGACGGTGGTGGAGAGCATCTGAATAGCCCCTGGGGAGCAGCAACAAACAACAAATTATTTTATTTTGACAAAAAAAATACGTGATTTAGAAAATCCATCATAGTGAACAATTTGATGCATTTAAAATACTAATATTTTATGCCAAAGTTACATTGTCATCAAACGTAATGTAACATACCTTAATATATTTTGCACAAATGACAAATGTAGTATCAGAAAAAAAATAATTTTAGAGGAAAACCAATGAGCTACTGAGGTCACTGTGAAGAAAGCTCATTTGAACTTGGTTTCTGCTTGCATTAAAAATGTTGGAGTCGTCTAAAAAAGGTTGCTCACTGAAATGAATTACATATCTCAAGCAAGCTACATGTTTCTGCAAGTCATTGTTTAACGCCTGGACGTCTATCTTAAGGGCCATAGTGTGTTTTCTAAATGCTAAGCAGTAACACAAAATACATATGCATGTATAAAGAGTTAACCCTGCAAAAAACAAACACCAGTACGGTTCTATGAGATGTTACTGATCACAAAAACGTCACAATAAAAGTGCCATGCCTTATTTAGTCTAGCTAGTAGTAGCATAAGCATTTGTATCCTTTTCTTTACCCAGCATGCTGGGCTCCCCCTCCAGCAGCGACAGGATGTACTTGTTGAGGAACAGGGTGCAGAAGCTGAAGAAGTACCAGAGGCCCAGGTAGGTCAGCGAGCGCCAGTTCCACACGCCGGACTCCGCCTCGATCACCGTCGTCTCTGTGACCGTGAGCTTCAGCATCTTCTCTCCCGACAGGCTGTCGCTGCGGGCCACCGCCACTCGGTGGGTGTGGAGCGGCGACAGCAGGCGCCACAGCGGGAGCATGCCAGTCTGCTTGCTGCCCGGCATCCCGCCTACCGGCCGTGGGCCCCCAGGGGCCCACCCTCCCCCTCTCGACAGGTGGGTGAAGAGAGAGCGGGAGGAGAGGGTTCGATGAGAGTTCTGAGCGTTAGTCCATCTTCTGATTGATCAGTCTGTCAGTCTTGCGGTCAATGATTAAAGTCCCGGTGTCCCCGGTCCTCTGCTGCAGAGGCTGGAAAGTCTTCTGTCAGGTGAGAGACACAAATCATCATCCTCTGTGCATACACTAGTAAACATCACATGTTGGTATCATACTGTGTCATTCACATTAATGATTGTCCATTCACTTGCTTCAGCTTTTTAAATAACACATATGTATAACTGTCCGTGTTGAACCC